TGTAATTGTGCGACTTGTGTGGCCCGAGTTGGAGGAATGCTCGCGAAAAGTAAAAATATATTTTAAATGAAACATTATTTTTCATCAGGGAGGAGTTTTGTATATTTGTAATATGTTTATTACGAGAATTGTAAAAAATAATATTTATTATTAGTATATTTCGCTTTTCACTGAAATGTAGTTATAAAAAAATAAGAAACAATAAACCACAGACTTCAAATGTTATTTCTTCATATTACCTTTCTATATTAAAGTAATTTTGTCAGAGTACAACCTCTTTTGACAGCCTTCGCGACTCTGTCAACAAAGTTATTTGACTTAACACAATCCTTTGTGTCATACAAATGTAATATAACTTTGGTGAACTTCATTTTACATCCTATGTCAGTCAAGTTGTCACATCAAAGGGTTTGTAAGAAACGATTTGATACGTAAAGCACAAAACAATAACTTGACAGAATACTTTGTTGTGTACAACAAATGAAACAAGTAGATTGTTAACTTTTACTTAGGTATAGTGCGATACAAACTTTATGTAGTCTTAAAATCCTACGATATGGTTAAGAAACAATTTTAGGCATTATGATATTCTAGACCAGAAATCGACCTTAAGTAAATCTACAAGTATCCTACAAGTACCTAAATGTAACAACTACTGATTCAAATTTTTGATTAAGAGAAAAACGAAAATGCCTATGTTAAATTAATATTTTGAAGGATTTGTATTCAAGATATGTAATAAAATTAGAAGAAATACTAAAAAATGTGGTAGTTTTATAGGATTTTTTTTATAAGTAAAAAGTATATAATAGTGATTAAAAAATACTTTAAAAATCCAGTTTACAAAAGACAAATAAGGAATATTTTTTTCAACTTACTTTACAAATATCCGGGAACACAAACAATAGCACTCGAAAACTTCGAACGTAAGTGAAAAATGTGTAAGCGATGTATAACCCGGAAACCGGTTCGGTACGCAACGCACGTCCGCTCCCCGCGACACCCGGGGGAGGAATGGCGGGCTCCGGGCTTGGCGCAGCTTCCCTACAGCCGGCCACAGACTAAAAAAACCAATATGTTTCTTTTTTTAAAAATAATAGTAACAATGGCCATGTTTAAACGTTGATTTTATTTTTAGTACCGTATCCGAATGGTTAAACTCATATTAGATTATTTTTTACATTTTAGTTTAACCGGTCGTTTTGAGATAAAAATAGTCAAAGTTTGCTCATTGTTATTAAGAGTACACAACAGTAATTCTTTTAAAAAAAGACTTTTTAGGGATAGCAACGTTCTTCGTAACCGATAAAAGCTTTTACATGGTTAGTAGTTAAGAGTTAAGTTACTAATTATTCGAAGCGGATCCACCAGGATTCTGTAATAGTGTTGTATTACATAAAGGTTTTACTACAACTTTTCCTAATTAAAAAGACTACCTGCTTTTCTAATAATCCTGTAACTGTAAAAGACATCAACGGGTAATGTGTTAAATTCGTCAAGTAAATTTTGCAACGGGTATAGACGCGAAATAGTTACATCCTAACCTCCTACATTCTCTGTAATACAACTAAAAACTACAATACAAGCATACTTTAATAAATACGCGTTAAAATATAGCTTTTTCATTCGTATACAGTATCAAAGCAACGAAATAAATAAGTTAAGTGCCGTAAAAAGTAAAAAAACGTATAATGATCGCGGAGTCCGCTAATTGAAACTACACGAAGCGTGCCGGAGGTTAACGCCTTCCCGCGCTTTTGCCGCCATGACAGTTGTCTTGTCGCCGCCATGACACGATGGATCACCTTTTCAAACATTTCATAAACTTTGCAACGCTCCGTCTTAATAAATCTTTGTTAAGCTCAGCTATTACAGAACTTCCTTGTAGAGTTGGAGACGCCGCTCTTGTTTATCCTGATTTTCGTAGAATTTTTTCACTATAAAAATGTTTTTTTGATACTAAAGCCTCTTTTGTATGATAATGTGATAAACAAGCCAGCAGCCTCAAATTCGCTGAATAGACATGAATGCTGCTCATAGATATTTGCAATTGCGGATACGTTTCCTACCCTGTTACTTTCTACCTGGCACCTTTGGTTAGACTTTAACCAGTAGTGTAGTGAGTAGTCTATTACTTGGCAATACTGAATTCTATATTTTTTCTGAATTAAACATCTAATTTATACAGTGTTTTGTATTTCGAAGTAGCCACTTTTGTGGTTTCTGTACCAATTCAAATTAGAGACGGTTTCCCGGTTGTTAGGAATCTATCAGAGAGACACTTTGATGCGGTTTTCAGACGTACAAGTTGGATCCTAAGTTGGAACAAAGTCTGTATTTCCATTTTATGTCAGTGAAGTGTTAGCATGCAAATTACGTGAATACAAGTATGTAAACTAACTATAAACTATGTTGTTTTTGTTAATATATTCTCTTGATAAAATTTAGGCAACATTTGTAAACGAGGATGTCGATAGCTAGAGATTGCTTTGCTTTTTGGGCGTATTCCCCCCCTTGTTATAAAGAAACACTCTTGACATCGTCAGTTTTATTAAACCCACTTTATGTGTAAACAATTGACCAAGTTCATCGACTTTAGTTTATGTTTATGCCAATTCTGCACAAACTGATCCTGATTCTACCATCAGGTTATCGCCACGCTCTCCGCATAAGGATGTCGATATCCCGTTACTTCAGTCAAGTCCTGTTTCCGTCAAAGGTATATACAAGTTTGATATTTCACGATCTCCATTGAGTTCTGATCACAGCTTGAGTCTAATTCAGATTGCAGAATAACATATTTATAATAGAAATATTATCTTTAACTGCACTAAATTTATGTGATGTAGGTAAAGTTTGGGCGAGCAGTAAATGGTATACTCGTAAAATGAAGCGACTTTTATCGATGTGCCTGCAGCGATTGGACTAAAGTTTGAAAGTCTGGCGAGGTGTGACAAGTTCTGCATCAACTTTGTTATTGCTTTTACTTTTAAACTAGCTGTTCGCGTGCGGCTTCATCCGCATTAAACTATTTTATTATTTACATGTGTCAAAGTATCAATTGCAAATGTCAAAATGACATGACATGATGACAGCCTTGCTTCCTTGATGTTGGCAGCAACTTATGGTCTCTTTCCCACATTGGGCTTTTTATCCAAAATATTTACCCCCTAAGTTAATGGCGTTAAAATATATAGCCTAAAGCGTGACGCAAGTGTAGGACTTTTAATTACAAAAGGATTATTTAAAAATATGTTGTAATTGCTGACATCTTAGGCAACAAAGAAGCGTGTGTTAACGCTTTATTATAATAGTATAGATGAGTATTGAACACATAGTCAAACCTTAGCAATTGGTGTTATTTTTTAGTGCATATGGTAAATAAAATTGTCTTAATCATTTTCCTGACTTAAGATAAAATGAAAAATATGTACATATATCGAGCCTTTAATGATAAACGTATTATAAGTATGTTGTTAAAAGATAATTTGTTGTTAATATCTAGTTGTACCATTGAGGGCCTATCAAAAACATTTTCGTAACAATTGCGAGATATTATTCGTAATGTCAAAGACTTATTGAAATTTATTTATGTACTTTACGCCCGAAAAGTTACGAAAAGATTCTCACGAATATTTGTGATAATCCCACTGTTTTTAACACTATGGCATATAGGGTATCTTCATTTGTTTATTGTTTATCTTATGATCAGTTTAATGTAGATTTTTATTATTGTACGACAGGAAGAACGTTACAAACAAGGTTTATTTCTGTCGTGCCATCAGTCGACATGTGGTTAACACTGTACGCTCCTACATAGATGCCCGTTCAACATTATAATCTCTTTTTAAATCAAAGCTATTGAACAAAAAACTAGTTTTTGCCTAGATCACTGCGAATTAAAAAAAAGTATTTTTATTTTATATAATATTAGGTGGCAAATGAGCAAGCTGCAAACTGAATCCACCGAAATGGAAACATCCGCAATTGCAGATGCGTTGCCTACCCTTAATTGACGGAGGAGGAGACGCACATAAAGAGGACATTTATCTTTCCTATGCGTCTCCACCACCGTCAAATCCATTTTAAGTTAGTGAGTACGAGTAACCTGTATGTTCTTCCAGGCTATGTTCTATATCTGTGCCTTTCATCGAGTTCTATTAAGCCGTTTTTGAAATATGTATTAACAAACATCTATCCGTTTACAATTTTTCAAAACTATATGTTTTTTATATATTTTTGTTTGCTTAATTATTAAACAAGACTACCTATACTTAGTTAAGTTTTTTCGCTGCGGTGCGAGAGGCAGCCGACGTGATGTAATTAATATAATGTAGTATGAAAGTGAGTGATTACTTGGTACGTGCTACGGGACGAGGTTCGCACTCAGTATTAAAGTTGTTTGCACTCTATTTAGAATATACTTTATTTACTGCTCTAGTCTATCTTAAGAGTATGCGCATACTAAACTATCGCACAACTGTTCAGTCGCGCTTTGATTCGTATGGGATTGTATGGAGGTGAGTTGTCTAAACAGTTGAGGCTGAGAAACAATCGACAATCTCACCACAGTGTGATAGTTAAGTCAAAGATGTGTGCACGCTTTAAATGCGAAAGTTTAGATGGATGGATGTTTCTTAGAGTTTGCCACATTAAAGGCAGATACACGATGAAATTTGTCATAGATATATGTAAAACCTTTTTGTATCTTTATTTAGTACGAGCTGTTGCCCGCGACTTCGTCCGCGTGGTATTAGAAAACATACGAACTATATAAATAATAAAAAGCTACGTATCCCTCCGGAACCGGACATTTCTCGGGGATGAAGCTTATCCCATGTACTCCAGACTTTGTTTTACATCTGTGCCAAATTTCAATAAGATATGTTGAACCGTTGCAGAATGATCGAGTAAACATTAAAAAACGAAATTAATCAATCCCACGGGAACCGTAACTTATCCCTGAATAAAAAGTAGCCTATGTGTTCTTCCAGACTATGCTCTAAACCTGTGCCAAATTTCATGAAGATCCGTTCAGCCGTTTAGGCTACAAACTCTAACAAACATCCATACATCTAAACTTTCGCATTTATATTATTAAGTAAGATAAAATCTGTATTTTTTTGGACTGACAAATGAGCGGAGGCATTGAAATGTAACATAAAATTAGTCAGTTAATAGCTCTTAATGTTGTTTTTTTTTTTCAGTACAACATAATAGTTATTATTGAAAGTAACCTCCATATTATATATAGATTTTTTTAATTCTACGCGGACGAAATCGTTAGCGAAAGCTAGTAACTATTATAATACATGTAGTTATCTATAAAATAATAGATATCAGAGACAGACATCGGCTTATATAGAATGATGGATTAGCAGGATTTACCGACGATATATCACATAGAGTTGCTACCATAATTAAATGTTTGTTAATGTTTTTAACAGATTGAGATGAGAGTTTATTTAAATAATAATTATCAGCTTTATATTATTGTTTACAAATTATTTTTAATAATAGGAAGTAGTTAAACGTGACACATTTTAATTTGTTTATCTCGAAATATCTTTTGCGTGAAATGAGAAAGGTCAATGTATTCTGTACAAAGATAAGGATTTCTGAACAAACAATCTTCCTAATATTATAAATGCAAAAGTTTGGATGGATGGATGTTTGTTAGAGTTTGTAGCTTAAACGGCTGAACGGATCTCGATGAAATTTGGCATAGACGTAGAGGATAGTCTGGAAGAACACATAGGCTACTCAGTTTTGTTTTTTTTTAATTCCACGCGGACGGAGTCGAGGGCGAAAGTTAGTATTATAATATAGTACTTAGTAGTTTTTACGTATTGATCGCCTTTTATATAACAAAGTAAACGAGCCAACAGACACGTGAATCAGCAGTAACCAAACAAACGCTGCCTATAGATGTCCGTAAAACGAGATGCATTTCTTAATTTCAGTCGACAGAGGAGAATACACAGGACCAAATTCCCTGTCGCTGGAACATCAAAACCTTATCTAAACTACGTA